TCTTGGCCAAGCTTTGAAGTTTCCATCAAAATATGGCAACTCCAGTAATGACTGTCTTAAAATGTATTTTTCCGTTGTGTTTTGTCCGCTAGCATTGATACCATTAATTTTTTTAATGATCGCTTCGAAAGCTTCTACTTGGCTATCTGCATTAGTCTTGTATTCTTTCCTGTTTTGAAGAGTTTGTATTTGCTCTTCCTGTGTAGCCAAATGGACTCTAATCTTAGTACATTTTGTACATGTCCAAGGCTCTTTTTTCTTCGGTATGTGATCTAATCCTACACAGGTCAGGTGGAACCAGCGATCGCAATCGTCGCAGGCCACCATGTTATCACTGTCGTCTTTCTCAAAACAAAGACGACAGTGTCCGTTTTTATTAACAACAAATTTTTCACTCATCTTGTTTTTTTTTTTTTTAATTTATAAATTTCTACCTGATAATATAATAGCGTCAACTCTGATTTTACTCACACTTTAATTTGAACTTTGTTGATATTAATGGCCTAACAGCTCGCCATTGGTCTGCTCCTTGCCACTGGACGTCCTTCTAGGATTTCGGTTGGCCTATAGCTTTTGTGATATTTTCGGCCTTCAGCCGTGGGAGTCCGGATTTGATGAACTTGTAGCCTTGTTGCTTGTGGTCTGCTTCTGGCCTTCAGCCGTGGGAAAGTGCGGCGTTTTATTACTCTGGCTTGAGCTACTTCTTTGTGGCGTGGTGTAAAGTGAATTTGCTAATATGTTGCCGGAACACTTTTTCTTTATCGGTACCGCGCCACAAGGTCACTGGAAACGCCTTGCTTACACAATACACTCCCTTTGGAAAGGGTTCATTTAGCCACTTTTTATATTTCTTTACTTCTTTTAATTTTGCAACCTGAATGTCGATTTCGTTGAAATACTCGACCAATTCATCAATTTCTTTTTGCAAATCGTTCATGTCCACTTCCACCGATGTCCGGATTTTCTGAAACTTTTCAGATCACTTGGCTATAAGCCTACTTGGCTTTGACGAGCCCAAATGTTCGCACTATCTGACCTTTGTCAGATTTGCACTTTGGCTCAACGGCCCACTTAAAACGCCAACTTTGCGGTTCTTTGCAGTCAGATTTCGACTGACTGCTATTTGGCTTAACGCCACACTATTTGGCACAAAGGCCCACTGGAACTGCCAACTTGCGGTTCTTTACAGTCAGATTTCGACTGACTGCTATTTGGCTTAACGCCACACTATTTGGCACAAAGGCCCACTGGAACTGCCAACTTGCGGTTCTTTACAGTCAGATTTCGACTGACTGCTATTTGGCTTAACGCCACACTATTTGGCACAAAGGCCCACTGGAACTGCCAACTTGCGGTTCTTTACAGTCAGATTTCGACTGACTGCTATTTGGCTTAACGCCACACTATTTGGCACAAAGGCCCACTGGAACTGCCAACTTGCGGTTCTTTTACAGTCAGATTTCGACTGACTGCTATTTGGCTTAACGCCACACTTTGTCAGATTGACACTTTGGCTCAACGGCCCACTTAAACCGCCAACTTTGCGGTTCTTTGCAGTCAGATTTCGACTGACTGCTATTTGGCTTAACGCCACACTTTGTCAGATTGACACTTTGGCTCAACGGCCCACTTAAACCGCCAACTTTGCGGTTCTTTGCAGTCAGATTTCGACTGACTGCTATTTGGCTTAACGCCACACTTTGTCAGATTGACACTTTGGCTCAACGGCCCACTTAAACCGCCAACTTTGCGGTTCTTTGCAGTCAGATTTCGACTGACTGCTATTTGGCTTAACGCCACACTTTGTCAGATTGACACTTTGGCTCAACGGCCCACTTAAACCGCCAACTTTGCGGTCCTTTGCAGTCAGATTTCGACTGACTGCTATTTGGCTTAACGCCACACTTTGTCAGATTGACACTTTGGCTCAACGGCCCACTTAAACCGCCAACTTTGCGGTTCTTTGCAGTCAGATTTCGACTGACTGGAAGTTCGCGGGCTCAAAACGTCGGAAAACGTCCTCCAAGATTCCTCTCTGGAGCCACCATGAAATGTCGCCGCCTTTAGCTACTTTCTTCTCCGGTTAGGGAGAGTCTTTCGCTTCCAGGTCAGACACTGTTTCTCGATTCTAGGAGCTACTTTTTTCCCCGGTTAAGGAGAGAAGTTTTCACTTCTAGGCCGAAAGTTCTTTCGGATTCAAAAAAGAGAAGAATCTGGAGTAACCTATGAAACTTAATTTTATTCAACAAAATTGTACAAAGTGATCTTACAGCTACGTGTTGCATTAGCAACTTATAATTATGTAAAACTTTTACTTGGTTCGTCCAGGGTTTTACATATCCCTTTCAATACCGGACTTTTGACCTAATTTTGCCTATTCTATTAGCTAGGATTTCGATCGCCCTTGAAAGGGTAAATTTGTGTTATTTGGATCTTATATACTATGCCCTCTCAGATCTGGGATTTCTCGGGTTATCTTGTAAGTTTATTTCTTTTTGTAACTCAGATCTGATATGGCTCTACAAATAAGAATGAGACATTTGTAACGTTTAAACATTATAATTATATCCTTCGTTAAGGATAAACAGAGAGGGAAAGCTAAACGTAACCTAGATGCGCAAGCATGCCATGCGTGGGCGTGTTTATCCTACTTGAACGCAGAAACGTTCCTAAGTAAATACTGCAGTTAGATTATGTAAAACGAGCTCTCGCTCCTTTTGCCCTACTTTTCATTTCATATTCTTGGCCTTGGTATCAACGTCAGCTAGGGCTATGCAAACGGGATGCAACTATGTGGTTATCTTATGGTTTTGGTTTTAAATTAATTGCCTCGCGGTAACACCGCCAGTTACCTATCCAGAGTTTGTCAATGTCGTTGGAAAAGCGAAGAAAAGTGTCGAAGCATTGGATATGCAAGTAACTGATTTTTTTCAATCTACCTTCATCGTCAGTCAATGTACCAACCAATGTAAAAAGCGGCCATACATTGACAAAATCAGACGGATCGTAATTCAAAAGAGCAGCTTGGGATTGCAGTACAGAGGCTCTGTTACAGGCGACAGAGAGCTCCAAAGCTGTTCTTTGTTTTCCAAGAAACTGCTTAAGCTGGCCACCGCTGAAGGATTTATTTTGAAAAACTCTTTAAAATCCAAGAAAATCCTGCTGGACTTGATGCCTCTTGTAAGGACACGTTCCTTAATGTAATGTTGCGTCTCATCGGAGAGGAGCAAAAGCTGTTCTGGGAACGTTTACCCGTTAAGGCAAATTAAGCATAGTTAAGTGAAATTTGATCAAATACATGCACTTTATACTAACTCGGAATATTTTTTTATAGTTCATTAACAATAAAAAAATATTAAAATCACGATACGTGACTGTGCAATTCTTAACAAATGAAAATTTACTTCAATTTATTTTTATGTGACAAATGGGACAGTTATGCGGGTACTTTCAATATGGGACTGACCTAGTTTGGTATTTTTTTATGTTTTGCCCATATAAAGATGTAATTTTCAGTGTGATTTCTTAAAGATCAATGAAAATAAACACCATTCTCAAGGTTAACTCAAAAATGATGAAAATTCATATGGGACAGTTATGCGAGTATCGGCAGTAATGTATTTCCGTAATCTAAGTGTGGTCTAACTATTGCTTTAGTTATCTTTAACATCTCTTCCGGATGAGCTCCACTACCCGCATAAACGCGAACCATAAATTGACCTTACCTAAAATGGTTAAAAATGGTTTATAATCCCTGCTAAACTTTAACTGAAATGGTTATGGAACTTTACATGAACGTTTAATGATAAAGTTTCAACCTTATGTATTATGGTTTTTTGGAACTGGACCTTACAAATAATGGGTTGTTAAGAACCATTACCATTCCAAATTCTTGTTTTCTCCATACATTTTCAGAAAGAGAACTATATAAGAACGTTTTTACTTATGATTTGAGAACATTAATGGTAATGGTTATGGTAGTCAGTAAGGTCCATTAATGGTTTTGTATTATCGCTCAACTTTACGTGGAATATATCGTGAATTGGTAATCAGTAAATTACAGGCTACCAATTCGCGATATATTCCACATAAAGTTGATCGATGTTACAAAACCATTCGTGGACCTTACTGACTACCATAACCATTACCATTAAAGTTCTCAAACCATGAGTTAAAAGGTTTTAATATAGTTCTCTTTCCGAAAATGTATGGAGAAAACAAGAATTTGGAACGGTAATGGTTCTTAACAACCCATTATTTGTAAGGTCCAGTTCCAAAAAACCATAATACATAAGGTTGAATCTTTATCATTAAACGTTCATGTAAAGTTCCATAACCATTTCAGTTAAAGTTTAGCAGGGATTATAAACAATTTTTAACCATTTTAGGTAAGGTCAATTTATGGTTCGCGTTTATGCGGGTACGTTTCTTGGAGATTATTTTAAGAATATTTATTTTCTTTTTTGCTTTGATAGCGGTCTGTTCTTTATGTCTATTGAATAACAATTTGTGATCTAAATGGATTCCCAAAAATTTATGACTTTCTATTATAAGGTACTGATGCCAGGATGATGTTTTGGTTCAGTGTAGCAATATCTGACGTTTCTCTTCATCATTTTCTTCTTGAGAGCGCAGAGGCAAGGATCAACTATAGAAAAGGGCCCATCAGCAGTTGTAAGCAAACCGTTCCAAAGCCCTTTACTCACAAATCGAAGGCCACCCACGCAAACCAACACCATCATCGGATAGAGGAAACTTCTACCTACACGATGATGGTGTTTGTTTGTGTGGGCGGCCTTAGATGTGTGAGGAATGGGTTTTGGAACGGTTTGTTTACAAATGCTGATGGGCCCTTTTCTATTGTTGATCCAGAAGTGCGCAGTCTTGACGAGTGTGTTGATATTGTTTGTGTTTTTACGTGAGAAAGTGGAGCAGAGAAGATTTTTTGGTTTTTTCACACCGTTGGAGTAAAGATAGTCTCCCTGCTCAGAGACAGTTGTCATCACCAGTCCTCGCCAAGTCAATTTCAGATTCATTCAAAACACAGAACGAGCAGGAACATTTTGAGATCAAAGAGCTCCGAGAAAAATCTGGAATATTTGAGTGTTTTGCTGTGAAATTGCATCGAGTTTTCAAAATCGACAATAATTCTACTGAATACGTTCGAAACAAGGTAACATACTTTACTTTTAATGTAATTATTTTAGTGTTGCATCACTTGGCGAAAATGCTTACGCATTCCTGAAACGGCAGGAAAATTTCTAGAAAAACTATCGGCAAAACGATGACGTTTTAGATCATCCCACTTTGACTGAAAAACAAAAACAATAAATCAGGGAAAATGTGGTTGTGCAACATGTTTACTGTTAATATATCGCCAATGTTTTCCACTCTCCTGCGTGATGACTATGAGGGATGATGAAATTCAATGTAATTGTATCGATTCTATTTTCCTGAATTTGTGTGTAGCCGAGTAAACAGAGCCAAGGTCCAAAATGTTGTCCCGCCTAGCGTGCAGCGGTCGAACGTTTGCGACAGCTCCTTTGCTACAATCTGCCCTACAGCAGGTTCCGAAGCGCCAGCAAGTGTTAATCCGTCAGTATGCCCGTGAAGTCAAAGGAGGAGGATCCGGCGCCAGCTGGACTGCTCGGGCCGAGCGACAGACTCTTCGTGAGCGAGCCATGGCTCCACCCGGCCCGAATGCTTACTCCCTGGGAAAGGGTGCCCTGGCTGGAGGTGCCGCCCTTGGGCTAGGAGGTTTGTGCTTCTATGGGCTTGGTTTCGGTAGCGGTACCAGCACCCTGGACAACGCTCACGCTTGGCCCGAATTTGTGAAGGAACGCATTCGCGATACGTATCTCTACTTTGGAGGATCATTGGCCATTTCGGCTGCCAGTGCAATGGCCGTTTTCCGCAATCCGACACTGCTTAATCTGGTATCGAGAAATGGATGGATGGTGAGTTGAAATAGCAATAGAAATTGGAATTTTATCAGTAATCGATTACCTATACTTATTCTAGTCAATTATCGGCACGTTCGCTGTGATGATCGGTTCCGGTATGTTGGCCCAATCGATTCCCTACAGTCCGGGCTTCGGTAGCAAGCAGTTGGCATGGGCTGCACATTCGGCCATTTTGGGAGCCGTCATTGCTCCCATCTGCTTCATTGGAGGACCACTCCTGACCCGAGCAGCCTGGTATACGGCAGGGGTTGTTGGAGGACTTTCTACCGTAGCAGTGTGTGCTCCGAGCGACAAGTTCCTCTACATGGGAGGTCCACTAGCCATCGGTTTGGGAGTTGTGTTTGCATCGTCGATGGCATCAATGTTCCTGCCACCGACTACGGCACTCGGAGCGGGAATTGCTTCGCTCTCGCTCTACGGAGGACTGCTGTTGTTCAGCGGATTCCTGCTTTACGACACGCAAAAGATTGTCAAGCGGGCCGAACTCTATCCACTGTATGCTCCGAGACCATTCGATCCTGTCAACTCGTAAGTTCAGATTGTGGGTTATAAATAAGGTGCACATATTTTAACGTTTCTACTCTTCATTCCAGTGCTATGTCGATCTATATGGATACGATGAACATTTTCATTCGAATTGCGACCATTTTGGCCGGTGGTGGCGGCAACCGACGAAAGTAAATGATAAATTTTAATTCTTACGAGAGAGGGAGTCCTAGCGAGTATTGTTTAGAGCACAACACTACAAGGGGGTTTTCATGAACTTACGTTTTAACGTTAATTCCTATCACCAACTGTATTTTATAGTTTTCTAAAGCGTTTAGCAACGCATCATTATTTGAAAATTATATGTAACCAGCTTCAAAGCAGGAAAACACTAAATCTGCTTGATTGTGCTATTTGCAGGGAGAAGTAAAGTGAAGTGAAAGGAAGTATGTGCATACGTGTCACCTTGGCGAACCGAGCGTGGAAAGGACGGGAAAAGAAACTCTGTTGACATTGTACGAAAGCGAAACAAATCCTAGTAATACAAATAAGTTACACTGTATGTGCTATTCTGGTTTTCTGCATCTCGATGACATTACAGGCTTAAAACTCAGAACCAACTTAACATCATCATGAATCATTAAGAAAATCGTCCATCGCCCATAAACGAACAAATTTCTATGTTGATGTGTTCCTAAGCTTTCATAATGTGAATGGAAGGAGAGCTTCGAATCCAACACAACACCAAAATCGGTCACATGGTTCACCCCGAGGTTTGGATGTTGGAAATCTTAAAATAGACGATTTATTTAACGGATGGATTTGAGTTCATCGAGAAAAAGTGACACAAGGCATCTCCCTTAATAAGCCTTAAATTGTGATTTTAATGCTATGGATTTTTGAAATCTAATCGCGTTTATCTCAGTAAATAATCTCTTAATCGTGATTTTAGGAGTGTATGGATTGTCAAAACCTGTAAATAGATTTATCTCCGCAAATAAGGCCTTAATTGTGATTTTAGGGGTGTTTGGATTGTCGAAATCTTAAAATGCATTTATATCCCTGGGCTGTGTTCCATTTGGTGAATTTTCGCTTAAATTTAACAAATAAATTATAATGTTCGAAAATCCCTCTGATATTGATCTTCCGATTTTCGAGAAGGTGTTTGTCAAATTTGATTCCTGGTCTGTCAGAAATAAGTCGGGTACAATAGCAGGTTTATTTGAAAATTTTCCATGTGTCAAATTTAAGCGAAAATTCACCAAATGGAACACAGCCTGGTATTATTTATTATAAGCATAATAATCACATCTTTGCTTGTTGTCTATTCTAAAGGGCCACACACATTAGATCCGTTTGCGTTGCGTTGACGTAAATTTGACAGTTAGACAATAGATTTAGCTGTCACTTTGCCGCAACGCGTCCGAGCCGGATCTAATGTGCGTGGGCCTTAATGAGATTGTGGATAGTAAACCTCTCCTACACTGAGGAAATAATTCGTTCGAATTTCATTCGAAATGCTTATGGATTTTAACCAAAAGAATTTGTTTTGAATTTCATATCATAGTTATCGTTTATGATTTTCGCTATATATTGATATGAGTTTGATAAAGCTTTCGTATGAAAATAGTACGTTATGATTATGAAAACCATATGTCATTCATATGGATTTTGAACGAGTGGAATACGGAATATAATCGTATCAACTATGAAATCGTGAATATTTATGCTCCTTCACATTTTGTTTTATGTTTCATGTGGAATTAATTTAATTTAGTGTAAAACAAACAATTAAATAATTTGATTTGCATTGTTTATTTGATTTATCCTGCAGTTAAAATAAATCAATTGAAAAAAAATATATTAGTTTATATTAGCAAGAGACAATGAATGAAATATTTTTTGCTTGGTCTACGTTATTAAGGCTGCCGTATTTACACCACACCAGGCATGGAAAATCATTTATATTCATTTCATACATTCATTTACATTCATTTTTCTCTAACTTTTTTCATCAACAGCATTCCGCAAAATGATGTATAGAGCTTTTGTAGGTTTTGTTATTTGCAAGAAATCGCCGGTTGAAGTCATTATTGTTGATTATTTTGAGTGTTTTTATGTTTCAGAGCATCGTTTGACCGCTGAATCCTCGGAATCCTTCCTCATAAGCGAGTTTTTTTACTCGGGTATGCAACACACTGTCCCGTGACAGACGCATGCGTCAAAGTCACGGTTTTAATGTTGTTATTGTTTACAGTTTTCCGAGCTAACAAAACCCGTGAACACCTTTTTCCAAAACTCTGCAATCTCGTCAAAATTCAACATTCCACGATGAACGAAGAACGGTCGGATAGTTCTGTAACGTCCATCGAAGACGACGACGACGAGGAGCACACAGACAATACGGAAAATCTATGCGAAAACCCCACGCGAGACATCCTGACCGAAGGATTCTTCCGGCTGTTCAAACCCGTGATCGATGATCTGGATAACAATATACGTAGTGCTCGGTTGAACCAGATAGAACTACGTCAACAACTGGACGAGCTATCTGTGGAGATGAAGAATCTTAACTTTGAAAACGATCCCCAACTGCACGAGCATTTCAAACGTATGGTTCACATCAAACAGAAAGTGATAGTAATAATGAACATTCTGCAAGGGGCACAGGTAAATAATCAAAAGCGTTTTTTTTCTAATCCTGTCCCTTATACTAAATGGCATTCTTTCTATACTATTCCGCAGGAACGCCTCGTAGCAATCTGCCAACAACAAGAACAAGCCGCACCACCGCCGACAGCACCCGCTAATTAAGCTTGCAAAGATTATTACCATTTTCTCGTTTTAACCACTATTTTATTCAAAAGTCTAAGAGCTATAATAGTAATTTAAACGCACCTTAAAAACCTAAACAACCAACAATTACTTCTTGAAGAAGCTGGAAATACTTTTCGTTCCCGAGGCTGCCTTAGCCAACGCCTTGGATTTGGCACTTACCTTCTTCTCCACTGGCTTAATCGGTGTTGTCTCGTGTACCTCTTCCTTTTTGATCTTTTTAATCTGACTGATCTCCAACTCAGCGGTAGATTTCCGTTTGTTCGGAACCTTCTCCTCGGGAAGTCCAATCGCAACGCTCAATTTTTTGCTATGATCCAAACTAAGATAGTCCGAAATTATCCCATGAGCATAGTGAAGCATTTCTCCGTCTTGTTTCTCGTTTTCCTTCTCCTCCTTGACGAAGTTGTGGGACCGGGAAAACTTTCGTTCCTTCCCCAGTGCCTGTTCCAGACGGATACACTTACGTCGCAACCAATCCAGCAGCTTTTCCTCGTTGAACTTGTAGGCACGAATGTCGCCGGCTCGCTTCTCATCCGCAATCAACGCCAGCTGATTGGTTTTAGAGAATGTACTCGCCAGCTTCTTCGTGTGGGGAAATTCGTCGTCTATCAAAATATGATCCAATGGAACTGCTTTACCGGTGCAATTCTTCTCCAAGTACGGAATGGCCAAAAACAGCGGATCTAGCTTTGTCGGGAGGAAGATTTTCCCATTGGAGCACACGGTTTCATTTATGAACCATGACCGGTTTGCTTCGGAAAAACAGTTCATTTCGTATAAATCTTGGTCATCGTTTCGCATCAGATACTTGGTTGGTTTTCCCGTGGCCGGATTGCGGAGGGTTATAATCTGCAGTTGATCGTCGGATTCGTTTTCACTGAGGTCTGGAATGAAGTTTACCCGTTATGTAGAGTTGGAAGTTCAGTTTAGGGCTACTAGACTCACCCTTCAGTATGAAGAAATGCTTATTACTAGTCATCATGTGCAATAATGATGCAAAACTATTAGAATAAATTAATAATTCTTAACAAGTAACAAACTTTTATAAACTCGGACTGAACACGGCGTAAATAAAAACTCGTATTATTTTTCCCGCGAAAAGGCCTTTATGATGAAAGCGATGAAAGCCCACTGTTCCAAAACATTATCCTCCGTTCATATGAATACCCGACTAAAACTCAAATTTATTGACGATTGATTAAATTACACACCAAATTTAAATCGTTGATAATCAACCAAATTTTGTTGATTTTGGACTTAATGAAACTTTCCAGTAAAATAATGCTCCTAAAACTTGAGTTTATGTTATAACAACAGCAATTGGGTTTTTTTTAATTTTGAAAAATGTATCGGTTTTTATGGTTTTTATACATCATCTGGAACTAAGAGAAGAGGTGACAATGCGGGGGCGAAAATGAACCACTTTTCAGTCAAACGTGAACCAGCTCATGATTGGCCGATTTCATGTGCGTGCACACAAAAAATTATCGTTAATGAAATTAAAAAAACCATGGGTAAAATTAAAAGTTTGCATTGGTTCTTTTTGGTAGAAAGTCGTTAGCATTCATAACAAAAGTCAGCCTATTGTCAGTTCAAAAGTTACGTGCCCCCTACTTTTAAAAGTAGAAACTTTCAAAATAAATTGTAGAATTGTCAAATCAAAAGCTTGACAGTGTTAAATTTAAAAGTGTATTATTTTTTATTCAAACTAAACTTTCAACATAAAAGCTTTGTATACTTATATTGACATATGTGCCACTTTGATTTAAATATATAAAATATGTTTAATTTAAATAAAAGCATTTTCAACATTAAAATATCATTTGTCATCTTTTTTATTGTATACTGAATATCAAAACTTTTAAATAACTGTTTTTATTTTTCAATGTAAAATATTGTTAACATTACCTAACATAATGATATGTATCCATATCGACAAATGTCTTTCAAATTAAGCTGCAAACCCAACATACTGACAGATGCCTCAAACTGACCATTTCCCTGCTGCTGTTGTTTCCTGCGGGACTCCTCCATTACGTAGATAGCAGCAGTGTTTGAGAAATGTACAGTTGCTGTTGTTTATGCTGTTCAAACGCAGGGGGACAAATCAATGTCCATGACGGTGAGTTCATCCAAACATCCACCAACAGCAACTGGTGCGGACTACGTAGACCACGATCCTTCGCATCCACGCTGTGACTTGACGACCGGCTTGGTCAGTATAAGTAACGAGCATTCCAGTTTGCTCAATATGACTTGGATAGCAGAACCAATCCGGATTAACGTCCCTAATAAACGGATACCATACACTAACGATATCATAGATGGTACGACCATACCACATAAAGTTGGGATGTTATCCCGAATTGGTGGTTAGGCGCTTCTTATGGTTATTGTTTATGCGGGGTTCCATTAGTGGTACTTACGGAAGCGATAAAACTAGGGTGAAAAAGTAACCTGAAATTGTGCAGAAAAATCATGTAATCAATCAAATTTTTTGGATCCAACAAAAACTCAATAAAATTTTAATAACCTTTACAGGAACAATAACATTTTTTTCTAAATGTTCATGCAAACCTTGAAAATGGTAGCAGCAATGCTAGATTTCAGATAGTATATATATTTTATTTTGCGAAATTTTGCCACTTCTAATTTCCACTAGCGGTCAGAGTTACAAAGGCGGGGAATGCAAATGAGGGTTCGTGGCTGCCAGTAAAAGTTGATATGAACCAAGATATGAACACATATTATTGAAAGTTGAACAATTTTTCTTTCAAATAATGAACTTTTAAAATTACAAGCCAAAATTGAAAGAAGTTCTTTTAAACTCATAGCGTGACTTTCATTTTGAATATATTCGTAGTTAAAACTACGAATTATGAGAAACTTTCAATTTGAAAATACATTATTTTTTATTGATACAGTTTTTATATTTTGTGTGTGTAAGATAGAGATAGAGATAGATAGAGATAGAGATAGAGATAGACACCTCTTCCTCTTAGATCTAGAAGAGTTTCGTTTACTGAGCACAGCGATATTTTTTTCGAACCCGCATACTTTCATCTTGATTATTACATCAGGATTTAAAGCAAAATAATAACCTCATTGTTTAACACTAAACCGAGGTACTAAACTATCGAACTGACAGCTCGCTCCCATACAAAGTGACACCGAGGGGCGCTAATAAGGTGATTTTTGCAAATGTAATCGTACTCGTACTTATTTAATATAGTTCCAGTGAACCAAAATTGATGAAATTTTGGGTTTGGGTTCTATTTTTAATGCAGATTATAATACAATATCTTTACAATACCCTTAAAGAACTCAATTAGCCTAGGGGCATCTCACTCTAAACTTTAGACCTAGTATCAATTAAATATTTTTAAATTCTTCGTAAGTATCATAAGTATTTTAAAGTATTTTAAGGTATTTTGAACTAATATTATATTTTCATCGTAGTAACACTTGTTTTTATGACGTGTTGCTAGTGTAGAGTGTTGACTTTTTTTTGTTACATCGAGTCGTTCGCCGTGTATTTATTCAAATTCATATGAAAACTCTTGTTAATGGGTGGATATTTGTATTATGTCTATGAAATATTTCTAATTTCTATTTTTCAGCCATTCAAAATGTTAAAATGCAAAGGTCAAGATCGACGTAGCTACAAAAAACAATGATTTGCAATCGTTGGCATGAGATGCACTCGAGCATAAATTATGAGGTGTCTTATATGATCGAGAGAACACAGATTGTTCATTGGCTTACATAAACCCCTTCGGTGGATCCTATTGATGAACATATATTTCCACAAATGTATACTACCCCTACCTTCCTAGCAGCAAATCATCTGACAAAGTAGTTTTTTTGCAGTACAGTTGAGGAACTAAAAACAAGCTCAAGATGCCGAAAAAATCGTGTCACATAATATTATTAAGGAAACCAAGATGACCAAGCGAATGGGTAGTGGAGGAATGGGTCAGGAGGGTCAAAACATCTGATCGAAAGCAAAAATAAAGTTTATCAGTTATCGATTTTCTCAACCCGAATAGAAATTTACATTAGCCCAACGTTTGATTTTGATGTCTACATCAGCATCGAAATCAAATGTATGCCTGATGTCAAACATTAGAAAACATTATGATTTAGTTGTATTTAAGCAACGTAACATGGTGTATACATCAGAAATTTTGGAACAAAATTTTGCCATTCTAATGTCGGTCTGACGTCAAAAATTTCAATCTATTGACATTAGAATCAAACGTTTTAAGGATGTTTTCAGATGTAAAAAACGTTAGAACTAAACGTTGTTCGGATGTTTTTAAATGTAAACGTTTTCTGATGTTTTCTAATGTAGATGTTTCCTGATGTTAGAACCAAACGTTTTTGGATGTTTTCGGATGTACATAACGTTAGAACTAAACGTTGTTCGGATGTTTTTATATGTAAATGTATTCTGATGTTTTCTAATGTAGATGTTTCCTGATGTTATAATCAAACGTTTTTCGGTTGTTTTCGGATGTAAAAAACGTTAGAACTAAACGTTATTCGGATGTTTTTATATGTAAATGTATTCTGATGTTTTCTAACGTAGATGTTTCCCTATGCTAGAACCAAACATTTTTTGGATGTTTTCGGATGTACACAACGTTAGAACTAAACGTTGTTCGGATGTTTTCAATTGTACTTCGTGTTTGTTGTTCTCTGATGTTTTCAGATGTACAAAACGTTTAAAGTAAACGTTGTTTGAATGTTTTCAAATGTAGATGTTTACTAATGTTTTTAGATATACAAAACACTAGAATCTTACTTTTCAAATGCTTTCAATTATATTTACAACACATTAGAATTAGAAACATGATCGTGTAAACACTACACACCATTGTTGTTAGATAACATCATAAAAATGCGTACATAATAGTCAATGCTGAAGCTCCCGTTTCCCACCAGTCAGATAACTGACCTTAGCTAACCAAATATCATTGCGGCAACTCTCTATGCGGCAGGGGAACTATGCCATTAGCGCGCTAAGAGTTATTAGACCACTGACATAGGCGCCAATTTGTAGGTGACGAGGCACTTGGTGACATTACAGCGAGCTTGACGATTGTTGTAGCATTTTTTTTTAGCAAACTACCAGTTAAGGTGTGTAGTGTTTACAAGATCATGTTTCTAGCTCTAATGCTTTGTACAATTGAAAGCATTGGAAAAGTTAATTATCATGTTTTGCATAACCGAAACCATCAGAAAACATAAAATAGTACCAAAAAAATCATCCATTCTGGTAGACTATCTCTTAAATGCATACAGAATAGCCATTGCTTAAGCTCCCGTTTCCCACCAGTCAGTTAACTGACCTTAGCTAACCTAATATCATTGTGGCAACTCTCTATGCGGCAGGGGAACTATGCCATTAGCGCGCTAAGAGTTGTTAGACCACTGACATAGGCGCCTATTCATGGGTGACGAGGCACTTGGTGACATTACAGCGAGCTTGGCGATTGTTATAGCATTTTTGAGTGAACTACCAGACAATCATGACAATAAGATCGCTGCGCCTCCAGATCTCCCTTTAAATCGACCCGCTGTGCCAATTTGTCAATAATGCATGACACTTTGGACGTGGATCGGGATGATCCACAAATGCGGAAAGTTTTGGGCTACCAGTCTTCTACCTAATTGACAAACTGCAAATATATAATAAACAAAATTATTGTGCATGAAAAATATGACAATGTACAATGCTCGAGGAACACTGGGAGTTTTCGAACGACGCGTGCTTAGGAATGCCGGACAACAATCCCGCAAAAATGGTGTTTTCCTCAAATCCGGCCGGTACAAGACGCAGAAAAGTACAGCGTGCTAGGTGGTTAGACCAAGTGGAGCAAGATGTAGGAAGTGTGGGATGCTCGAGAAATTGGAGACAAGCAGTCAGGGACCGAGTTAGTTGGCGCAACTTTGTTTCCCCATCGGGATCCGTCTACGGAATCCCTATTGGGATGCGTATTCGGTTTCCCCATCGGGATCCGTATTCGGTTTCCCCATCGGGATTCGTAT